ATGAAATTTTCACAGAATGAAGAGAAGTAGTAAAACTAAAACTTCGTCTGTTTAGTGTTTGATATATGGAAATGATCTTTGTTGGTGGTGTCCGGAGTGTGGATTTTAACGGATTTTGCGCAAACTTGAATACTACCTCATGAAAAAACTCATTAAAAATGTTCTAATTCGTTTGGGGAAAAAAAACCCTTTTAGATGTAATATTTGCTAACATGCATGTAAAAACAGCAACAACAACAACAATCAATTTCCATAAAAAATAAGTGCGGTATTTATTACGTAAGACATGTCAACAAAATCCAATATGGCCGCCGTATCCGTGGAAACGAAACTTTTTTCTCAAATTTGATTGCGGTTCTTAAGACTCACTTCTATGCTTGCTATATGTGCCAAATTTGGTAAAATTTGGTCGACTAATAAGCGAGATAGCCTTCAGGTGTAGCCCCCCTCCCCCTCCCCCCTCCCCTTATGTGTGCAGCTTGCACACGGGACCTCCGAGATCTTTCGACCCTATCTGACAAGGCTAGGTTTTATATCAAAGGTGTGACTGAAATACAGCAGTAAGATGGAGCAATTTCATATTGCATTAAAGACTAGCTGCAATAGTATGTGCCTTTGTAAAAAAATGTATCACAAACATCGGTGATGTTTTTTGTTTTTTTTGTTTTTTTTAAACTTTATTTTATGGGCTGGGTTGTTCTCGTTTTCTCTTATCACTGCTGTATAGAGCAAATATTACGGGCTGCTCTAGATGAGTTCACAACTCATTTTTGAGTTTGAGTTTGAGTTAAGAAAAGCGCATCGACACAATGACGATCATTTAGTGATGGGAGAAAGTAAGATAGACAAACAGAAACAAAAAAGGGAAAATACAGACGTAGAACGAACCTGTTGCACCCTCCAACCATCCGCTATTTTTATAACTAAGAAAATATACTAGCGATACGGGTACTCAACTTTTCTGTCAAGCACAGACACTACTGATACTCAATTTCATTTTCAGATCTTTAAAAAAATAAACATTTAGACGTCAGTTTGATTAATCCTGGCATCGTACTGAATCACGCAAATACAGTAAGCCTCCCCACCTCCCTTTCGTTCTTCGCTTCTCCGTTCCTTTTCGTCGAGTCCTGAGAGCAGTCACAAACAAGTCAGGAAGTAAGACGTCCTCCCATAGCACCGACCCATACCTGTCGTGCACTAAGTCTGAGGCGACAAATGAGCCAGTTCACGAACGACGTCACCCCATCTTTTCTATAATCCCATTTTTCACGCGTTCTTCCTCTGCATAAGGGGCAGCCTGTTACAGTTAGTCAGCCGTATTAGATTACCGTCTAGGTATGTATTTATGGCACGTCTCTGGACTCCCAAGCCTGCAGTCCATGAGTGTTTCTAGCCACTTTGCCATCCATCAATTCGACGGTCCTGGCTGTCTTGTCTGACAGACGCGAAACCGCCATCTTCTTCCTGTCATCTTTCTAAGGCACTTTTATTTTGGAGTCGTCTGCTTTATTGCATGCCACTGAAAGGCCTGGTAAGAAGTCTAGTCTAAAGAGTGCATTTGTACATAGAATTTCTCGGGCAGCGACCATTTCAAGGTGTGTCTTCTGATGAAAAAACAATGGATAGTCCAAGAGCTGTGGTGTTTTTGTGTTGTTTGATAACTCTTTCAGCGTCGGCAATAGACGCTCAAGGTGAGTATAGAACGTATAGTATAAAAATTTAGGCTCTTTTTCTAATCGTTGACGCAATTCTTGAGTACATAATAGTCCCTGGAATTGCTCGCGTGCTAAGAAATTGCATTATTTAATAACTTTTGAATATTTCCCAGTATAACCATGCCTTATTTTCTCACATTCTTTACCTCCGTTAAACATGTTCACCCCAATTTCATGGAGATCAAATAACAATTTTTTTTAAATAAAAAAATTCATGAGTTCAAGGAGACTAAGTAAAGATTGTCCCATAAGTAGGCGCATGTTCTCTCTCCTTTAATAAACAAACAATGACATCATAACTTTTGAATCATTTGGCAAATGTAGTTTATCTGAAGAAGTAAAATAATTTAAACAAACAAACAAACATTAGCACTAACAGCATCAACAGCTGAAAAAACTGAACTCATTAATATTAAACAAAAAGGGCACTAAATTTCAACAACAATAATAACAACGATAACATCAACAAGAACAACAAAAAAAGGAAAACAACATGAGCAACAGGACCACCAGCCGTAACTGCAGCTCCAGCACCAGCACAATCACCATCACCACCAGCAGTTGCACCATCAAACTCACCATCATCACCACCACCAACACCACCAACACCACCAACACCACCACCACCA